TTCTTTCATAAAACCTATAACCCCAGTATAATCATGAGAAAGACATCAAGACAAACCAAAATTGAAAGATTCTACAAAATGCCTGATCAGTTCTCTTCAAACTGTCAAGGTTGTGAAAGACAAGGAAAGACTGAGAAACTGTCACAGACCAGAAGAGAAGAGGTGATGGGATGTCTCAATGCAATGTGGTATAGTGGATTCAATCCTGCAAAAGAAAATGGACGTTGGTGGAAAAACTGGTGAAACAGAAAAAAGTCTGGGCTTTAGTTAGCAGTAACCTACTAATATTGGGTTTTATTAGTTTTGACAAATGTACCACAATAATGTAAGAGGATAACAACACAGGAAATGAAACTGGGTGGACAGTATTAGAGACTGCTGTACTATCTTTGCAACTTTTCTGTAAATATAACATTATTCCAAAAAAGAAAGTTTATTTAAAAAAAGAAATTTGTGAGTGAGAACTGGCAGAAACAACAGAAAACAGGGTCACAAACACCTCATATATTGAAAGTATAAGATGCCAAATATAAAACTTCTTTAATCTGTGTAAGTCTTTTTATTAAAAAAGAAAGCCTATAGCAAACATCATTCATAATTGTATAATGATAAAGGACTTCCCTTTGGGACTGGAATCAAGATAGAGATGATTACTATCACTACTTATACTCGCCATGTACAAAGTCCTAGCCCACACAGCAAGGAAAGAAAAAGAAGTAGGAAGTATAAGAATTAGATTGAAAGTAACAAAATAGTCATTATGTATACATTATATAAATTTATATCTATATATAAAATATATCTCTCCATACAATTTATTGGAATTTTTTAAAGTTTGGCAGTTTCAATTTATTTTTATATCTTAGTAACAAGCAGCTAGAAAGTTGATTTTTAAATTATATAGATATCATAGCACAAAGATCTCAAGTATCTATGAATAAATCTAGCAGAAGTATAAGACTTCTAGACAGAAAAGTTTAAATTTTATTAGAAAATATTTTTAAATTAATATGTATATACCATATTAATGAGATGGAAGACAAGATTGTAAAGATGTCAATTCTCTTCAAATTGACCTATAGAGTCAACGCAATCCTAACCAAAATCTCGACAAGATTTTGACAAGCTGATTTGGAGATGCAAAGGGCCAAGACACTTTGGAAGAAGAAAAGAACATGGGAAGATTTACTCTTCAAGAGTTCACGTGAAGTTGTTGTTGCCATGACAGTGTGGAAATGCATAAGGAGAGGTTGTCATAGGTCAATGGCAGAGAAGAGAGTGCACAGAAACAGACCCTGTACATATGGCCCCTTGGCTAATGGGAAAGGGAGCACTGCAGATCAGTGGGGAAAGGGATGGTTTAACAGATTAAAGGATTCTCAGACAAAAATTCATAAGAATTAAAGTAGAAGCTTTAACCGTAGATCAGACGGGAAGTAATATGGTCTCAGATAAGACAGGAAATGTGGGGGGAAGAAAACAAAAACATTCACTCAGCTTAAGGCTGTGGGTGGTGGGAGAGCTTCCCAGGTCATGCTGGAATGAAATGGGCTGTAAAACCAGGGCAGGCATATGAACAAGAAAGTAAAGCAACACTTGAATCCAAACTGCAAATAGAATCAATCTGGAAGGATAACCCAGAGGATGAAGAAAACATCCCCAAAGCACTGAACATCACACAAAAACCTAAATAATAAAGCAAGAGCATGAAGATAGGGTGATAAAATAACAATATGTGACTTCAAGTGGAGTTGGAAGAGCTGTAGAAACAAATTAAGATCCCCCCAAATAAACAAATCAACTTTAAAAAAAAACCCAAGAAACCAAAATCTACTAAAAATTAAATAACTGTCATGAAGAAAAGTTTGAGACAACCATCACGAGCAGAAAGTAAAAAGCTAAAGAGTTGAAAGATTAGGGACAGATAAAAGCTGTGAAGGCTGAAGTTGCTCCAGTGGAAGAATAATTTTGCCCCAAAATTGAAATAGAAAATCGTTTTGGTGATACTAGAGGAGAAACTTACCCTGAAGTAAAGGTAGAATTGAATCTATCACCTTAAAAACACAAGGGCTATATTTAAAGACTGTGCACACAGAATTTATCAATAACTTTCTGCACCACTTTATTTATTCATAATAACAAGGGCACATCTATTTTATAAAATCAATACAATAATAAGGCTATACTTTAAAGTTTAAGCTTTAATAAGATAAAGTCACCACAACAAAGTGAAAGGGCAAGGAAAGTATATTTATAAGTTTCAGAATTTTAGCAAATTCTCCCTTACAGTTAAAGAAAGAACAATCACCTCAACTCACTAACACTGGCAATAAATCAACCAGCACTTCATAGAAGAGGCCAATAAACAAAAAAACTGTTCAACCTCTCATGTAATCAGGAGGGTAAAGTTAACAAGATGCAACTCTTGATCCACCACCTCTGCAAAGTTTGGGTGTGGGGAGATGGTTCACCTAAATCTTGTAGGTGAATACGTTGGTTCAGCTACTTAGAAAGGCCGTTTGCAGAATCTATAAACAATTAAATATTAGTACCCTTTGCCTCAGCAATTCCATTTTTTTGGTTATTGACACAAGACAAACACTTTTATATGTACAAAAATATAAAGAAATACATAATCGTTGTTATCACTGCTTCTTGGTAAAAGTGAACAATTGAAAATGATCTAAATGTCTGTCAATAGCGTGGGGAGGAGGGATGCTTTAAAAACCATAGTGTATGGGGCTTCCCTGGTGGCGCAGTGGTTAGGAACCCGCCTACCAATGCAAGGGACATGGGTTTAAGCCCTGGTCCGGGAAGATCCCACATGCCGCGGAGCAACTAAGCCTGTGCGCCACAGCTAGTGAGCCTGTGCTCTAGATCCCACGAGCCACAACTACTGAGGCCTACATGCTGCAACTACTGAAGCCCACACGCCTAGAGCCCATGCTCCGCAACAAGAGAAACCACTGCAATAAGCCTGCACTCCGCAACAAAGACCCAATGCAGCCAAAAATAAAAAAACAAAACAAACAAAAAAAAAACTATGGTGTAAGTCAGAATGGCCATCATCAAAAAGTCTATAAATAATAAATGCTGGAGACGCTGTGGAGAAAAGAGAACCCTCCTACCCTGCTGGTGGGAATGTAAATTGGTTCAGCTACTATGGAGAATAGTATGGAGGTTCCTTAAAAAACTAAAAACAGAGCTACCATATGATCCAGCAATCCCACTCCTGGGCATATATCTGGAGAAAACCATACTTGGAAAAGACACACGCACCCCAATGTTCATAGCAGCACTATTTACAATAGCCAAGATGTGGAAGCAACCTAAATGTCCATCAACAGATGAACGGAGAAAGAAGATTGGTATATTTATACAATGGAATATTACTCAGCCATAAAAAAGAATGAAATAATGCCATTTGCAGCAACATGGAGGGACCTAGAGGTGAAGTAAGTCAGACAGAGAAAGACAAATCTCATATCACTTATTTGTGGAATCTAAATGTGATACAAATGAACTTATTTACAAAACAGAAACAGACTCACAGACATAGGAAACAAACTTATGGTTACCAAAGGGGAAACGTGGGAGGGGAGGGATAAATTAGGAATTTTGGAGTAACATATACACACTAGTATATAAAGTAGACAAACAACAAGGACCTACTGTACAGCACAGGGAACTATACTCAATATTTTGTAAAACCTATATGGGAAAAGAATCTGAAAAAGAATATATATTTTTATATGTATATATGTGTGTGTGTGTGTATATATATATATATATATATATATATATATAACTGAATCACTTTGCTCTACACCTGAAACTAACACCATATTGCAAATCAACTATATTTCAATTAAATAAACAAACAATAAAAACGATGGTGTATCCATTCTAGGGATAGTATTGGGTTGGCCAACAAGTTCGTTCGGATTTTTCTGTAACCTCTTATGGAACTTTTTGACCAACCCAATATATAGCTGTTAAAAAGAATGAGAAGAGCCTATGGCTATTAAAGTAAGTGAAAATGCAAAATGGCATTCACAATATGAATCCATTTTTTAAAAAACAGGATTCAAATTTTGTATTTAAGAAAATGAGTTATATATGTAAATGCAAAGAAAAGGATCTGGAAGGTTATGCCTGCGACTCTAACAGGACTGGTATTGGGAGCTGCAAGTGGGTGAGTGGTGAACAGGACTTTTTCCCTCTATATACTTCTGTATCGTTTGAAATTTTATGAGCAAGAATGCATAATGTATTTCTTTTGTATTAAAAAATCAAAAAAATTAAAATATTAAGTAGTGTTATTTCTGACCCATTACTAGAGAAAAAGATAGGGTTTCTACTCTTTTTCTTGTAGAGGTGTAACCTATTCCAGAACAGAAAATGAAACCGAACATAAAATTACTCAGCCTGTGCTAGCTCTTTGCAGTTTGGGGTATTTCTCTTCCCTTTAATTTCTTTGCTCAGGATCGCTGGAGGAAGAACCCAGGCCCCCAGCTAGAACTGGGAATAGTGGTCCCGTCCACAGGACAGATACGAGACCGACAGCACCACCCAGGGTTTGAGAATAAATCAGGGGTTTCTCCTGAATTTTTTATTTTCGAAACTACCTTCTTTGAAATGACCTATGTGAAGGTAGAACTGACCTGAGGGGAACGAGAGTGACCTGGGGCCACAAGGAAATAAATCCTCACTGCAAAGCCTCAGGAAGGACTGCTGCCTTCAGACAGGCCTGCCAGCTGAGCAGTAGCTGCAAAACAAGTAGTCACCTGTGTTGTGGCTGCAGAACTCAACCAGCAGGCGCCCTGCGGCAGTTTAAAATCCCATTTCCTCATTATACATTCCTGCCCTTCATTACACTGCAGGTGACTGTTCCCCTACACCAGGCGTAAAGCAGAGGTTTAGTGCAGAGTCCAAAGGACAGCGCTGAAGCAGCAGCGAGGCCAGAGGGAAAGGTGGGAGGAAGGGGGAGAAAGACTGACCTGCTGCTGAGCTCGCTGCCCCCACCAGCCATCTTCCCGCCCAGCCTGGCCTGGGCCTGAGCTTGGCCTCCGACCCCTCCAGGCTCCCCAGCCTCGGTCCGGTCCCGGGAGGCTGCTGGAGCCCTGAGCCCTGAGCAGGAAGTCTGCTCTTGGGACTCACCCAGAGATGACTCCGCCCAAGTAGGGAAAAGGGAAGTGAAAGTATTTATCAGTGAGCTGTGCTGTGCAGATGCCCTCCCTCTTCTCGCAACTCCACTGTGCTTCCAGCCATCCTGACATGTGATCGAGGGATGAAAGACAAGGAAAGACAGTCGGGGCCTGGAGGGCCAGGGGAGGAGCAGGGCCAGCCCTCAGGGGTCCACCTGTTTGTGCAAAGACAGCAACAACTTCTGCATGACCCCAACTGTCCCCAGTCTCCTGCCTTCTCAGAGCGGTTCAGAGCTTAGTACACGGTTGGGGTAAACTCCATGTGTGCCCCTTCCCCTTTCCGAGATGACCATGGTGGGGAGAGGGAAAGACAGAGACTTCAAATCTTTTCTCCGGGCTGTGGGAGAGCCTGGACCGACACATTTAGGTCGCAGCGTATGGACATGGACCAGGAGAGAGCCCAAATGCTCAGGTTTATAAAGTGGAGAGAATGTTCTTAGTATTCCTGGAAATCAGCCAGAGGTAGGAGAAAAATCTCCAAGGCCCTGGGGCCAGAGCCAAGTTGGTGACAAGTGTTGACATCTTAGGTACAAGGGTGCAAGATGCCCCGACTATGGGGTTGCTTCACAACTGCAGCCAGGGGTGAAGAGGAGAAACCTGGGAAGTAGTCATGGGAATGCTGAGGGGCAAAGGCTTCTCTTTAGATGGAGATGGAGGTTGGAACCCAGATAACCTAGAAATGAAAAGGCAGGTGACCCCAGCTGAGAGGGTGACCCTTGGCCCTGAAGTTGTGTCTGTGCACAGGTTTTTCACTCAGATACTGAGTCATCATTCCACAAAGACTGAGAAGTGATCAGAAGACTCACTTGAGTGAGCACAAAAGCAAAGCATATTTGAAAATGAGGGGAAAGGTTTCTACCTTCTCTCCACTTCTTTCTTTCCCCCAAAGAAGTGAGCATCATATCTCAGTGGTTAGGACAGATCCCAGGACACTGATGAGGGCATCTCTTCCAGTGGGCAGGGTCTCAGTGGTACCAGGTCCTGCACACGTGTGGATCCCTCTCTCCCTCCCTCACTTTGGGGGTGTAGAAGGACTAGTAAGCCAAGCCTCTGTTGGGCACAACCGTCCTCTGCTCCTGACTCCATGGGGCATGGGGTCCAGACAAGCCTGGCACAGACCACACCTGCCGTTTCTAGTGTCCCCTCTCCCTCTTCTCTCTGTCCCTGGGCAGCTGGTGGCCCAGGCCACTGCCGTGCTGGCTGTTGACATAAATGTACCCACTTTTCTGTTGTCTGTTTAGGACTTTCAAGTTGAGCACCTGGAATTAGAGGCCACCTAGCAGCGGCTGAACGAGCAATCCACAGGGTGGACACTCCCGCGTGGGGGCTGCTCCTGGCCCCTGGCAGAGACCTTCCTGTGGGTCTGAGAAAGCTGGGCCTGCACCACACTCTGTGAGGGCAGTGGGAGTTTCTGAAGCATCCCCAGGCCTCTGTGGAGAATGCAGTTTCTTTAAGCCAGGAACTCGGGTTTGGAAAAGGACAGGACCAAATTAAGAAGCAGGTTGATCCTAGGATAAACCATAATGAAAAAACATATATATATATAAAAGAGAATATATATCTATGTATAACTGCATCACTTTGCTGTACAGCAGAAATTAATACAACATTGTGAATCAACCATACTTCAATTAAAAAAAAAAAGAAGAGGTTGAACTCCTCCTACAAACCCTGCTGGAGAGATTGAAGGAAATAAGGGGGCACCTGGGGCATTTTCCATGGCTGTGAGGACCGCTGGCAACGGGAAGCATCTCTGCTGTCCCGGGAGGATCCCAGCTACTGGGCCCGGAAACCCAGAGGGCAGGGGAGGTCGTGGTGGAGGAGGGACCTGGGGCAGAGGACCCGCTAAGGCAACGGGCTTCACGAGCTTCACCAGGAACAGCTTCCCCTCAGACTTCAGTAGTGGGGCTGAGTCTCTAAGCTGGGAGACCCCAGTGGGGACCAGAGGCTTGTCCCTGAGACCAGACAGGGATCTGAGCTCAAAGGGCAGAAGGAAGCAGCGTCAGTTGACAGAGTGGCCACTGGGGCCAGAGGATCAAGACCCTTCGCTCCTCCGTGGGCATAGAAGTGGAGCGGAGTGGACGCCTGGGACCCAAGTGGTTACACTCAGGCCCTGCTCCATTGTCCCCTTCCAGGCGCAGCACATCAGTCAGTGGGACTGGCCTGGACCCCCTGCTCCTCTCTCCTCCTGGGAGACTCTCTGGGTACAAGGGGTGAGTCTGCTTGTTCCTTGTCGGGTCTCCCTGGGCTTGTCCTTCCTGCAGGGCCAGGGCTCTGTCAGCCCTTCCAAGGTCAAGTGCACAGAGACAGGGGCCTGGGGAGTGGGGCGGTGTGGGGTGTGACTGATTGGAGCTGTGTAAGACTGTGTGGATAAGCCCAATTCTGAGGTTCCGTTTTAGGGATCTCTTTTTTGCTACATGGTAAGCCACATCACTAAGCCCCGTCCAGCTTTTATCATGAAGAAAACTAGTATTTTGATCCCCATCTGTCTCACCGTTTTGCCTGTCAGTTGGTTTTGAACTCAAGTGGGGAGGGTCTATACACAGAATTTGGGGTTCTTCTCTGTGACTTTCACCTTCCTGGGATTTTCCTCTCTCTCCCCAGAAAGCCTGGTTGCCCTGGGCTTCTTCCTGGCTCTGCTGACCAGAAAGAAGGTGGGCTTCCTACCAAAGTTTTAGCCACCCCATGTAAGGCTGCGGCTGCTCTCAAGTAGAGTAATAATAAACAGGAAACATTTTGTCTGGCTGCTTCCCTTGAGTTTTGACTTCCCTCTACCATCAGCCTGCTTTTGTTCACTTTCTAGAAGCCGTAGGCAACTGTTCTTTGCATATTGTCCTCATAGGGACGTCTTCCACCCAGTTTACTCAGGGAGAGCTGGAGAACCCCGTTCTCTCCTCCAGACAGAAGGCCCGGTCCTCTCCACCCAGATAGCAGGGTGTGTGCTGATGCTCTGGAACCCGCACTGGGAGGTTCAGGCTGAAGGGTGGAGCCCAGGACCTCAGGAGCATCAGTCCTACTGCAGTTCCCAGGGACACAGGCACACTCCCCCCAGGTAAGACCACAGCCAGGCTCCTTTACAGCCAACAGCCCACATATGCGTCCAGGTAAATGGAACCGACAGGGGCGATGGGCTTAGTGGCCATCCTTGCCCTTGGCTGTCCAAGGTGGTGGAGTGGACGCTCTCCCTTCTAACATGATGACAGACTCAGCCTTAATCTCCAAAGCACAGGCAATGGAACCACAGTCAACCTGTTCCATTCGATTCAGGAGTGTGCCCCCCAGCCTCTGTGGCCTCTCAGACTGACTGGCCTGGGACCACCCCATTCCTCCCCTTAGACATCAGAGCTCACTGATGGTCCCCGGGTGGGTTCTGCCAGTCAGTTTCATTTTCCTTGGCTGTCCAGCCTCCTCCACCCCTTTCCTAAGAGACCTGGATTCCTTTGGGTGAAGACTTCTCCCCTTTGTGTGCAGGAGTAGAAGGAATGTTAACTGAGACACTGGCCCATGAGCAAGCCAGGCCAGCCAGACTCTCTTCGGGGAGTTGGACTCTCGCGTGAAGTTTGTTAAGGAGTTAAAACACAGTTGGATAACACTTGTTCAGTGGCAGCTCCTTAACAAGGTGGAGGAGATGTTCCTGGTGTTCAATTCCTGGAGCAGCTCTGCTTCCTGCCTGGTTCTGGGACCATTTGCAGGCTCTGAGCCCAGCCTCCTGCCTTTTCATGAGCCACTGTGCATCCCATCAATGAAGTCCATCAGAATTTGGGGTTGAGAGAGAGAGAGAGAGAGACAGAGTTCTGTTTCTCCAGAGAGCCCTGATCAATACAGTCATCAATATAGTGGACCAATGTCATGCACTGTAGGGTGGCCAGACTATCTTTGTCTCTTCAGGCTATATCGTGACAGAGAGAAGGAGAATTGACATAGCCCTGGGGCAAGATTGTAAACATGTACTGTTGCCCAGTCCATGTGAACATGAACTGCTCCTTATCCTACTTCCTACTGAATGTTTTTGTTTGTTTGTTTGTTTTTGCTTTTTTGTTTTTTTTTTTTTTTTGTGGTACACGGGCCTCTCACTGTTGTGACCTCTCCCGTTGCGGAGCACAGGCTCCGGACGCGCAGGCTCAGCGGCCATGGCTCACGGGCGCAGCCACTCCGCGGCATGTGGGATCTTCCCAGACCGGGTCACGAACCCGTGTCCCCTGCATCGGCAGGTGGACTCTCAACCACTGTGCCACCAGGGAAGCCCCATCCTGAGGCTTTTGGATCTTCTTTTCCACAGTCTGCCCTGGCATCTCTGCTTCCACTTCATCTAGTATGTACCACAGTTTATACCAAGCTTTTTTTTAATTAAAATTTTTAATTAAATGTTTTTCTTCCAGTTTTATTGCAATATAAGTGACATACAGCACTGTATAAGTTTAAGGCATGTATAATGATTTGACTTATATACATCATGAAATGATTACCACAGTAAGTTTAGTGACCAGCCATTTTTATTCCAAAATTAAAGGAATAGAAAAATATGTATATATATAAGCATTTAAGAGCCACCCAGGAGCATACTTGATTCATCCCCTTTGGCCCTCGCCAGGCTAATTAAACTTCTTGACACAGAAGAGTGCTTCTGTGTTGACAATTTTCCCTTTTCCAGTTTCACATTCCCCTTTGTCCAGGACCCACCCCCAGACACAATCTCCTGGTACCTGCTGGTACATGTTGGCCAGTCCTGCAGCTCCACTGGGGTAGATGCTCTCTTCAGCTGGCAGGACAACCCAGGACTTTCTCAGTGGGGTCATGCTGGGAGGACTCTGCAGTCTTCATTCAAGCAAGATTAGGATGGGGTAGGGGAGGGGTCTGTCTTCCAACAAAGGCTAGGGAATTCTTTTGCAGGCCGTGTGTTGAGGGAGACCTGGAGTTCAAGGTTCTCACTTGCAT